AGCCCTCTGGTCTGTCCGAGAGGAAGGGGAGAATGGGCCCAACTTTCCCACTTCCTTCCCATAAGCCTGTGGGTAGCACCGTGGCGCCGCCATTTGGCCGCAATGAGGAGCCTTGCTTGCACTTGCAGTACTAGCGTCCCTTGCGTCCTCTGGCTGCCCCTGAGACGGCCGCCCTCTGTCTCGGAAGCAGGCTCTCCCCGGCCACAGCAGGCCTGGGCTGCGTCCTCCTGCTTCTAGGAGGAGGCTCTGGGTATTCTCAGCAGGCTTCCCGGCTGCTAGGAGTGCTCGACGTCAATTTCAACATTCTCAAACAGCAACCAAAAAACGTGCTGTGTACACCATTTTGCAACCGTTTCTCTGTTTTAAAAACTGTTGGGGAGCGGAGGAGATGTTAACCTCATCTCTGTTCTCAGAGTTGATAATTCCAGTTCAGCACACAAGGTATAACCACAAAAAAATAGTGAACTAATGAAGGCTAAGCCTGAGGTGTAATTGGAATCAGGGGACTTGTCCTGGGTGTTATTTCCAGATGGTGTAACAGGATTGCTCTCCACCCTCCTCCGGTCTCCCTGCTGGCCTGGGGCTGCTGCTCATCCCAGGACGGGAGGACCCAGCGGAGCTGGGGCGTGCTTTTCCTGGTTTAGTTCACCTTGTCAACGCCTTCACTTCCAAGCGTAGTTATCTCCTCCTTTATTTCCTCTCCTGTTATTTACTGGAACTCCGTCTCTGGCAAACGAGAGGAGGCTGTGCGGTGCTGGGCCTGGGCAGCTGCCCAGTGCGGGTTTTCCAGCCTCTCTCCCTTTTATTATCTACTCTGAGGATGACTCACGCCTGGAGAATGCTGTGATTTTGAATTGCAATTTTTCTGTATCGGAAAAAAATCCGCTTAAGAATTGGCTTGCATGCTCCAGCTCAGCAGAGGGCAAAATATCCTATTAATGTGCCAACATCTTATTTCTGTTGTCACAGACAGGCAGCAACCTCCCCCGGCCTGGGGGCCGGAGCTTCCAGATGCTAGAGATTCCCTGTGCAGGTACAAAGGGGAAGAGAAACCCTTGTGCCAAGTCCTATGAGTGCACGAGGCTGAGCCATTTATTGTGCCCTCCTGCAAAACTCAGCATCAGTCCTCGCCAGAGGCAGGCAGCGGAGGGACCCTGGGCCACCAGCAGTCCTGACATTAGGGCTTGGAACCTGCTTGCTATGGGGCAGAGAGGCTGCACTAACCCAGGCCTTTGGTGCGGGGCTGACTGGCTCCAGCCTCTTTTATTTTTTTATTTTTTGACAGGCAGAGTGGACAGTGAGAGAGAGAGACAGAGAGAAAGGTCTTCCTTTTGCCGTTGGTTCACCCTCCAATGGCTGCTGTGGCCGGCGCGCTGCGGCCAGTGCATCGCACTGATCTGAAGCCAGGAACCAGGTGCTTCCTCCTGGTCTCCCATGGGGTGCAGGGCCCAAGGACTTGGGCCATCCTCCACTGCACTTCCGGGCCATAGCAGAGAGCTGGCCTGGAAGAGGGGCAACCAGGACAGAATCTGACGCCCCGACTGGGACTAGAACCCGGTGTGCCGGCGCCGCAAGGCAGAAGATTGGCCTATGGAGCCGCGGCGCCAGCCAGGGCTGACTGGCTCCAGCCTCTTTCTGTGGCCCTTCTCCAACAGGAGACCACAGCAGCAGAGCCCTCAGACCGCACAGTGACTTGATATCTGAAGTGAGGTGTCAAGTGGGAGGTCAGCCTGGGGGATCCCTTGCAGAAAGGTGAGCCTTAACAGTGGAGTCAGGAAACAGCACCCGAAGCCCAGCCTGAGTCAGACTCCTTGGGTCTGCATCTGTATTCTCAGCACCGGCCAGGGCTCCCGTAGCTGTCTCACTTGGGTCCTCCCTGTCGTGGTAGCGAATGCGAGCACACATACGGACAGGGCCGGGGTTACTGGGAGAACATTCCTGAAGTAGCAGTGGCACAGAAGTCACTGCTATGAGAATCCGTGGTGCTCATTATTTTAACGCTTGCAGTGGGAGCACTGGTTGTGCAGTTGTCCATGTACAGAAACATTTTTTCTCAGTCTCTACTGCCTGAAGCGGTTATGAGCATGTAATATGTAATCACTGAAAAACCTCCATGAATGCAACCCAAAGCTCTGATCCTCAGAAGGGCAGGTTCTAGGCTGCACCCTGCTGGTGCCAAACTGTCCTTTAATCATTGGTAGGACAGTAACTTTCAACAGATGTAGACATTTTTTAGAATGTGGGCTGGTCTCCTGACTTTTCGTGTGATTTAAAAAGACTGACTGCTGGGAAAACCTCTTTTTGGAGGAAGTTTTGTACGTGGTCTCGCTAATTCCCTTGCACTGCAGCCACACGAGGGAGATGGAATCAGCGGTGTCACCAGCCCAGGCTGCCTGACTTCGGTACGTCTCAGCCCAGAAGCACATTGGTTGTGTGGGCTGTCCGAGCTCTCCTGCATCAGAGTCAGGTGAGCTGTGCTTTAGAAGGCGTCAAGGGGCTGGCGCTGTGGCGTAGTGGGCTAAGCCTCCACTTGCAGCGCCAGCATCCCATACGGACACCGGTTCTAGTCCCGGCTGCTCCTCTTCCAATCCAGCTCTCTGCTATGGCCTGGGAAAGCAGTGGAAGATGGCCAGCATCCTTGGGCCCCTGTACCTGTGTGGGAGACCTGGAGGAAGCTCCTGGCTCCTGGCCTTGGATTGGCGCAGCTTTGGCTGTTGTGGCCATCTGGGGAGTGAACCAGCGGTTGGTAGACTTTCTGTCTCTCCCTCTCTCTGCATATAACTCTGCCTCTCAAATAAATAAATAAAATAAAAAAGAAGGCTTTAAGAGACCACAGGACCCTCATCCTGCCCATCCCTACCCGACTCCCTGCTGGAAATAGACCTAAACTCAGGTTACAAACCAGAACCAGGGATAGCAATTTTGGAGTAAGAAAGATGAAGTATTACATTCTCCTTAAGTTAGTGGTTCTTAAGCTTGGGTGTGTGAGAGAGGCACCTGATGATTTGTTAATCTGCAGGGAGTTGGGGACCCTGGCTCAGAGGTTCTGGATCTCAAGGTTTCTGGACAAGATCTAAGCCAATGGTTTTCAAATCTGGTGGCTATTGGAATCCACTTGAAAATTTTTTTTAAAAAGAGAGAGAAGGAGGGAGGGAGATTGAGAGACATAGAAAAGTATCTTCTAGCCACTGATTTACTCTCCCAGTGCCTGCAACAGCTGGGGCTGGGACAGGTAGGAGCTGAGAATCAGGAACTCAATCCAGGTCTCCCATGTGGGTGGCCAAGACCCAAGTACTTGCTATAACCTGCTACCTCCCAGGATGAACATTAGCAGGAAGTTGGTATCAAGAGCAGAGCTGAGACTTGAACCTGGTGCTCAAATATGGGATAATATGGGATGTACCATCTTAACTGGCATCTTAGCAACTAGACCAAGTGCTTGCTCTATTCTGATTGTTTCATCTTCTAGGTCTTTGTAACACATTTTCCTCATTTAAAATGTTTATTTATTTGTTTTCATCTACAGAGAGAGAGAGAGAGAGAGAGAGAGATCTTCCATCCATTGGTTCACTTTCCAAATGCCTGCAAAAGCCAGGGCTAGGTCAGTCAGGCCCCAGCCAGGAGTCCAGAACTTAATCTGGGTCTCTTAAGGGAGTGGCAGAGGCCCGAGTACTTGAACTACCACCTGCTGCCTCCCAGGATGTGTTAGCAGGAAGCTGGATCAGAAGTGGAGTAGCTAGGACTCTAACCAGCACTCTGATACGGGATGCTGGCATCCCAAGCAGCAGCTTAACCCACTGCACCACAACATTGATTGCATTTTCCTTATTTTATTTCAACAAATAACACTGTGTCACACGTGGCATATAAGAGTTCACTACGTCTTCTGAGTTCTGGACCAATGTTTTCAGCAGTCTTTACGCTTGCTTCAGGGCTTCATGTTGAGGATGTGTGTCTAACTCACAGACTAGTTCAACCGAGCTGTGCATCCCTGAGCTTACTCTAAAGGGGTCCAGAACCCAGCCTCATTTGACAACATGCCAGCAGATGATTCTGCCTTCTCTGCCTGTGCCCTGGGGAACACACGAGAGCACACTTCTACCACAAGATGTGCTTATGTGAGGGTACTTCAAAATGATTGTGGAGGGGCTGGCATTGTGGTGCAGCAGGTTAAGCAGCCTCCTGCAATGCTGGTGTCCCATATGGGTGCCTATTTGAGTCCTGGCTACCCCACTTCTGATCCAGCTTCCTGCTAATGTGCCTAGGAAAGCAACAGAATATGGCTCAACTGCTTGGGCCCCTGCATTTACGTAGGAGACCCAGATGGAGTTCCAGGTTCCTGGCTTTGGCCTGATCTAGTTCCTGTGGTTGCAACCATTTGAAATGTGACCCAGCAGACGGAAGATTCTTTCTCTCTCTTTCTGTATGTGTCTGTGTCTCCCTCTCTCTGTAACTCTGCCTTTCAAATAAATAAATTTTTAAAAATGATCAAGAGAAGTTTATATTGGTAGGAAATAATTGTGAAATACATGCATACTAAGGGGTGCTCAAGAAATTCATGGAAAATGTGTCAGGAAAAAAACTACGTATGGATTTCAAAATTTCTCGCACCAAAATAAATGTGCCTTTGATGTCCGTTTTTGGAGTCCCCTGCAGAACAGCTGGAGGGCCTGGTGCTCCAGGACCATCATTTGGTCCAGAGAACTACCACCAGGGAGACAGCCACAGAGTTGCAACCTCACGAGATGTCAGCTACGATGTGATGACTGCATATCAAGTTAATGGAGCAGACCCGGCCACAAAAGCTGCTCACCCCAATGAGACTGGGATGATGACAGAACTGTCGTGGGCTGGGCAGATCAAACGCGAACCTGAATGCACGCCATGCCTTATCTCTCACGAGTTGGGCTGAGCAGAGAAGGAAGGACAGAGGAGCAGGTCTGCTCTGGGCTGGGCTGGCCACACCCTGGAAGGCCAGTTGCGCTCAGAGCCAGGCTTACCTCTGTTTCAGAATCTGCTTGTTGTCATCCAGGGTAACGCTGTCAGAGTGGTCCCTCTTGAAGATTTCGAAAGCCTCCTGGCGTCCTAAAGACATTTCCTCTCTCATCCCTGTTTGGAGACACAGGGAGATGGCCTCAGTCACAGCATCAGGATCCTATTAATTTCACTGCTGCTTTGGTCAGACCACAAAACCAGCCCTGGCTCCGAGAGGCCCGCGGCAGGGAGCCTCTGACCAGACAGGTGGCCTCAGGCTCGTCCCTCTGGCCCCCGAGCCGCCGTCGCCCCGCAGGTCTGTGCCTGTGCCTGCCTCCATGTGACTTGGGGTGGGGTGGGGTTTGGAATGTCGGGTCAGAGGAAATGAAACCCAGAGCGCCTGGCCAGGGCCAGGACTGCCCGGAACATCTGCAGATGCGCTTTCTGCCAGCATTCGGCGGCACACGTTGCCCTGTTTTCCTGTTAGGCCCTCTTTTGGTTTTCTGTTAAATTGTACCCTGAGTTTCCAGGCATCTAGTTAAGGGAAGGATAATCCAGACAGATACAGAATTTAGGAAAGTCTCCTCTTCATCCCATGTAATGATTCATCCCCGGCCAGTGAGACGGCTCAGATCCCAGTGAAAAGTTGAGTCCTCGGTGGCAAGCCCCAAGGCCCAGGGTCCCCGTTCCGGGTCTAACTCCAGGGTCTTGCATTGCCCTTGCCACTGCAGGCCGACACTCACTGTGGGGCCCCGCTCCGAGCAGCCAGAGCCCTCACAGCAAGCGGGGTGCATCCATGCACCAGGCCCTTTTCCTCGCAACCTCTCCGGTGCGGCTTCATGCAGCTGTGTGCCGGGGAGCCCCTGCGTGACAGCTGGATTCACAGCTGGATTTGGGAGGAATCTGCAGTTGCTGTTTTAATGCTTCTACCTCCGGATTTTTTTTTTTTTTTGTCTGTGTGACCTTTTCCCATGTTTCTATCGGGCAAGTCTATTTATCTTTGAAGTCCTGGCTGAATGTTGTTATCTCTAGGAAGCTTTCCCTGCAGCTCAAGCAGAACAAATCTTGCCCCTGCCTTGTTCCTTATCAGCACACCTGAACTTGCACAGCCCGGCAGACACTGTCACTTCACGTCACAACCCTTTCTGGTGAAACGCAGGTTTCTCCAGGGGCAGAGATAGCATTTAAAAAATTTTTTTTATGTGTGTAAATCCCTAGTGTTTTGTTCACTATCTGGCATTCAGAAGGTGCTCCGCATATGTCTGTTACATGAATCAGGTCAAGCATGAGTGGCAGGGATGACCTGCCTTGGTCTTCTGGCCCTGGGTTCCACTCAGATGGGCCACTTACAACATCTCCTCTTGCCTGGAAATAGTCCCAGCGGGAGGAACGGGACCAGCCCATCTGACACCAATTTGATGATAAAAATAGCACCATGAAGAATGTCTGAATGGTGAGGCATAGGAAGACACCGCACCCTTTCCCAATAAGAAGCAAATGGGCACGGCTCAGTTCTGTCTCCACATCTGCCCTGCACTCTCTGGCACGGGGCGGGCCTGGCAACGGGTGTGTGCGAGATGCGGAGAGGTGGGCCCCGACGCTTGAGAGATGTTAACGAGGGAGTGCTCTGGGCCAGCACCGCCCCCCAGGAGCCAAGGGACTTATCCCGGTCACCTCCCCCATCTGAGCCCACTTCTAACAGGGCTGTAGCTGTAGTATGGTTCCGGAAGACGGAGGTTTCACAGAGACTGCTCCAGAGCCTGCTTGGGGGACTGAGGCAAACCATCTCCCACGGTGGGCGTGATAAGATGGCCTCTGGCTTCCACCAACCAGGTAGCAGCAGGGGTGGGGCTTAGGGCATGGAGAGCTGCTCAAAAAGCTTGGACAGATGAGAAAGCTCTTGGTCTCTCCTCTCCTGGCTTTGCTTTCTTGTAGAGTTGACAGAGCGAATGCTAAGGTTTTTCAGTGGCTTTGGCACTGTCACAGCAGTGGGACCTGTGGCATGGAGAACCAATGGGCACCCCTTCCCCTGGTGCAGGGCCCTGGGCACGGTGTGCACAGAGGAGAACGAACGCACTGAATGGTCGTCTGGGATCATTCTGTTGAGAACCTTGAAGGTCCTGCTAAGAAATCTGGGGCCAGAGGCGGAATGGATCATCCACGGATTGGCACTTCTCAAAGACTCAGGATCTCAGAGAGTACACGGCAGGGGAAAATTACAATGGGAACACTCAATACTTCTGGAGATTTAAAAGGCACTGAGGGACCTGTCCATGCCGAGGGCTTATCACCAGGAACAGGACATTGCTTTCCTCTTGCTATCCCTGGGGAAGTACTCTGGAGTCAGGGACGCAGGGGAATGAACCTTGGTGCAAGGGCCGTGATCCTAGCAATGACCTGTCAGGAGAGCTAGCGCAGGGAGGCCAACATGAGGTGGCTCACCGAGCCCAGAGCCCCAAGGAGGAGCAAAGCCCAGATTCCTCAGGGGCTTCTTCAAGGGTCGCATGGAGCAGGAGCCCGAGAGTCCGCAGGGAGTCCCTGGGAGGGACTCTGGGGAGCAGCTGTCATGGGTGAACCTTGTCCGCAGTGCAGCTTCGCTCTAGTCCATCGCTTCCTGCTTGTTCGGAGCCCATATCCGGCTCCTTCGGCCTTGCACTAATAGGCCGCTTCTCATTCCAGTCTGGGATCACCTTCAACGTTCATGGACACCTTCTTTACTTTTTGATGAGAAGCTGAAGTCGCCACTTCCTTTTTCGTCTGAGAATTTAGAAAGCAGCCTCCTCTTGCTATGGCAAGCTCTCGCCCCTGAGCGCATAACGCACGTGCCAGAAAGAGAAAGAGCAAGTACAGCAAAAACAGCCATTGAATGCCCGCCTTGCTAATGAGACAATCACCTATTTATTTATTCTCTCAAGAAGTATTTGTTTATCCTAGGCGCAGTGCTAAGCCTGTGTCAGGCATGAGAGAAATCAAACAAGCAGAGTAAAGCTTTGATCCTTATGCTGAAAGCTCAAAGTCTAGTAAGGGAGAAAGAAAAGTGGAACAAATTACAGTGAGGGCTGCTGCTTGCTCCAGGGAGGGAAGGCTGTGTCCAGCACTGGGGAACAGGAGGGAGGAAGACGGGGGAGGCGAATTCCGGCGGGGAGAGTGGGAAGGGGCTGCGGCGGGAGGGAACACGAGCACTTCGCCTGCAAGGGTCCTGGAGGATGGCGCAGCACTGGCCAGGTGGAGACGACGTAAAAGAAGATGCCAGGTGGAGGGGACGGGGACGCGGTGTGAATGAAGGAGGCGCTGTGGGGACCTGCGTCGTGGCGCAGTGGTTAAGCTGCCACCTGCTACGCCAGCATCCTGCACTGGAGCTCTAAAGTCCCAGCTGCTCTGCTTCCAATCCAGCTCCCTGCTAAGGCTCCTGGGAAGGCAGTGGAAAATGGCCCAAGCAACTGGGTCTAGTTCCTGGTTCCTGGCTTTGGTCTGGCCCAGCTACAGCCATTGTGGCCATTTCAGGAGTGAAGCAGCAAATGGAAGATCTCTCTCTTTGCCTCTCTCTCTCTCCATACCTCTGCCTTTCAAATAAATAAAATAAATCTAAACAAATTGGTTATAAAGGGGTGAACACTGCCCAGCTTTTGGAGGCATAAGTTCTTCTCTAAGACCAGCTTTTTTGGGGAAAGCGTGATGGAGAGGGCCAGGCTGGTGGTGCTCATCACGACTGCTAGGAGACTGCACTCTTCCTAACACCTCTCTTGCCCAAAACCTTGCTTTGCTTTCTATTCACAGAAAACACCACGACTTTTGTTGACTATTTCCATAGCTTACTTCAAATGTCAATATATCCCATTGTAATTTCTAGAAATTGTAAGCTGCATAAGAGTTTAGATTTTATCAGTTTGGTTTGCTAAAATATTTTCTTTTTTTTAAGATTTACCCATTTATTTGAAAGACAAAATAGAGGAAAGATAAAGAGAGAGAGAGAGAGAGAGAGAGAGAGAGAGAGAAATTTGTCATCCCTTGGTTCTCTCCCCAGATGGCTACAACAGCCAGGTTTGGGCCAGGTTGAAGCCAGGATCCTGGAACTCAGTCTTGATCTCCCACATGGCTGGCAGGGGCCCAAGTACTTGGGCCATTTTCCACTGCTTTCCCAGGTGCATTAACAGGGAGATGGATCGGAAGTGGAGGAACTGGGACTTGAATAGGCGCTCATATGGGATGTTGGTGTCACAGGTGGCAGGCAGCTTAACCTCTGTCCCACATTCCAGCCCTGGATGCACTGTTGATAGCACCTGAATAGCACCTGGTATTGGAGAGGAAGTCAAGTCTTTGAAGGAATGAATGTTACAAATGTTGAGTGCTCTTTCTTTTGATGTGGTGTATTGTGATGTTCTGGGGGACTGAACCACGCAGCCATCGTCCATCATTTGCCCTCACTCCAGGCTCCTGGGGGAGCTCGGGATTTTAGAAACTCACCACCATCTTCCCCTCACTGCCTGCCACCACGGACCATTGGTAGAGATCAACTGCAACCCCAAGACGCTTTTAGAAAAATGTATCTGCTCTTGAGAGGATACAATTATTTCAGGGATAGCAAAGAAGAACTGCATCATTTGTTTTATTTTATTTTTTAGGATTTATTTATTTTACTTGAAAGTCAGAGTTACACAGAGAGGAAAGGCAGAGAGAGAGAGAAAGAGAGAGAGAGAGAGGAGAGAGAGAGGTCTTCCATCCGATGGTTTACTCCTCGATTGGCCGCAATGGCCGGAGCTGCGCTAATCCGAAACCAGGAGCCAAGAGCTTCCTCCGGGTCTCCCATGCAGGTGCAGGGCCCAAGCACTTGGGCCATCCTCCACTGCCCTCCCAGGCCACAGCAGAGAGCTGGACAGGAAGTGGAGCAGCCGGGTCTCAAACTGGCGCCCACATGGGATGCTGGCGCTTCAGGCCAGGGTGTTAACCCACTGCGCCACAGTGCCAGCCCCATCATTTGTTGACCACTAGTTAATACATAGGTCCTGCAAAGACATATGAGAGACCTTCAAAAATTTCATGGAAAATGCATATTATGAAAACACTTATGCTTCGATTTCAAAATTTTTTTTTTGCATCAAAGCAATCTTATTTTTCACTTCCACCTTCCACAGACT